TGCTATAGTTATGTACCATTTTACAAACCTCCTATAGTATCCCGTTAGTCCTAAGAATCCTCTCAACTCCTTCAAATTCTTAGGTAAGGGCCACCTCAACATTGCCTCAATCTTTGACTGATTGGCCTCCACCCCTTCTTTGGATGCAATATGATCCAAAATCTCCACACCGGTATGGGCAAAACAACACTTCTTCAAGTTGGCTCTCAGCTGATGCTCCTATAGGACTTCCAAGGCCATATTCAAGTGCTCCAGATGCTCCTCATTTTTGCTGTACACTAGTATGTCATAAAAAAACACCTGAACAAACTTTTGGAGGTACTGCCTGAACACCCTGTTCATCAGTGACTAGAAAGTAGCAGGGGCGTTGGTAAGCCTAAATGACATTACCATAAGCTCATAATGACGCTCATGTGTCCTGAAAGCTGTCTTTGAGATGTCTGCCTTTCTCATTATGATCTGATGGTACCTCGGCTTCAAATCCAACTTGGAGAACATCACTGCCCCATACAATTCATCCAAGAGCTCATCAATCACAGGAATAGGAAACTTATCTGACACTGTCCCTTTGTTCAAAGCTCTGTAGTTCACACAAAATCACCAGCTCCCATCCTTCTTCTTGACCAGTAGAACTAGACTAGAGAAAATCGCACTCGGCTTGATGATCCTAGCCTCCAGCATCTCACAAATCAGCTTCTTAATCTCATCCTTCTGAAATTGAGGATATTGGTTGGGCCTGACGCTGATGGGTGACATACCTTCCCTCAAGGCGATGGCGTACTTCTGCTCCCTCGATGGTGGAAATTCCTGAGGCGGCTGAAACACCTCTTGGAATTGCTGAATCAACGATTGTATGTAGAGGGGTATTCCCCCTCCCTCCTCCAATCTAGCTCCCTCCAAACTGTGCAGCTCCACTAAATATCCTCCACCTATCTCCTCTATGGTCTTGATCAAAGATTTGAGAGATACCCCAGTCATTGACAACCCTGCATCACCTTGAATCTCTTTTTTCTTCCCCTACCACCAGTTCCATTCTCAGGGTTCCCTAATTTACCTTGGTATCTCCCGAGGTTTGGAGCCACTTCATTCCCAGGATGACTTCAGTGCTTCCCAACTCCAAGGAAAGAAAATCCTCACTCACATGTATCCCCTGAATGATCATCATCACTCTCTCACAAACTCCTCTACCCATTTTCATTGTTCATGTGCCCATCATCACTCCATAACCTCCTGTATCTGCTAATTTCACCCCCAGCAGATCAACAATTTGGGTGGAGATGAAATTGTGGGTTGCTCCACTATCTATCAACACTATCACCTCTGTATCAGCTATCTCTCCCTTCACTTTCATAGTGTGATTTGGAGTGAATCCCACCACTGAGTTTAGGGAGACTTCTGCAGCATCTAGATGCAACTTCTCCTCTTCCTCCATCTTGAAATCGCTCCCACCTCCCTCTTCAGCTTCCATGTCATCACAGATGGTGAGAACCTGAAGAATTCGGTCCTTACACCTATGCCCTGGCATGTACTTCTCATCACATCTAAAACACAACATATTCATCTTTTTTCTCCTGTATCTCCTTCTTTGTTAGCCTTTTGAAAATTCCCATTTCCCCCTCCTCCGCTCTCTCCTTGGGCACTTTCTTCAGACTCCCTGGCGCTGGCCCTTTGCGAGCTAAGAAGGTGCTGATCATCCTATATGATCGCCCCGAGTTGCTCCCTCTAGCCCCTCTCTCCTGCTGCTTCTGATCCTCCACCAACTGGGCTAGCTCCATGGCCTCTCCTAGGTCTTTTGGCTTTATCATCCTAACCGTTTCCCGTATCTCCGATTTAAGCCCCTTCATAAAATTCCCCTCCAGCACTGTCTCAGAGAGCCGGTCTAATCTGCTGGCAAGTACTCGAACCTATTATGGTAATCTACCACTGTTCCCTTCTGTGTCAAGGTAGAGAATTGCTCATAGAATTCTCCTCCTCTATCGGTTCAGAAATGTTCTAGTAAGCACTCTTTGAACTCCCTCCAGCTTCGGATGGGTTGCCTCATGTCACGCCATTGGTACCATGTCAGTGCTTTCCCCTTCAAACACAGTGCTTCTATCGTCAGCTTCTCTTCCTCCGTCAACCCGTTGACGGTGAAATATCGTTCCACCTTGTAGATCCAGCCATGGTCATCCTCATCCTCAAAGATGGACATCTTCAGCTTCCTCACATTCGGGTCATCCCCGTTGCCCTTGAATCCTCCATAACCTCCCATTCCACGAAGAGGAGGTGCTCCCCAGTTGTCACAATCTTCCCTCCGGTGATCATACTCAATCCTTTCATCAAATTCCCTTCTTCTTCTTTCAAATTCAACACCTTTGCGGTAGGAATCCTCCCTTCTCCCTTCAAAATCAGCAGCCCTTCTTTCGAAACCAGTGCTCATTTCCTCTCTAGAAAGTGGTTCTAGAGGAGGCATTCCGTCTTCACCCTCCAAAATCTCCACTTCCTGATTTTTCCTTCGCCTAAACATGTTAGGGTTTCCACCTCTTCTATAGTCGCCGATGGTTTCCCTTGCTTCCGATGTCGCCGGATTGGTCCTCACGTCTAGCAGTTTCTTCAACATCTCTTTCATCACGACAAAACTTTCCTTCCATCCTTTCATTATTGGATGAAATCTGATTTTGAAAATAAAAAAAATTTTCCCTCCAAATCTGATTTAAGTTGCTCAATTTCTCCTTCCAAAACTTCAACCTTTTTTCTGGCCATATTTCTTCCCGATATTTACGAGAAGATCTTCTTCTGGATGAAATTTCTCCGCTGAATTTCAGAATTTTCGCCGCTGATGGTCCCAACACAACGCTCTGATACCCAATTTGATAGGAAATACTTGAGTTCGCAAGCAACTCTAACAATAAGTAAAAACAACGGGTGTAATGCGACAAACTTGATGAAATCAATCCAAAACCATAGATTGTAATAATGGAATCAAAGCAAAAGTAAACACCAAGCAAGATAAGCAAGATACAATTGATCCTCAATTTGAGAGGAGGATCCTTCTCTCCTAATCTCTAGATGATGAATCTAGAGCCCAAGACACCAAAGAAAACTCCAAGAGAACAACTCAAAGCATGTATGCCATAATCCTAGCCTCCCTCTTCTTTTAAAATACATATCTTCCTAATAAAAAACCAATAAAAGGCTTCCTAGAATGAACCAAATTCAAAATAGTTTCCCTAAGTGTTAGCCAACCCCTTCTCTCTCTCATTCCCGCCCTAGGGGGGCCCACAAGCCTTGGCGGCTTAGCCCGCCTCCTGTAGACCTGGTCGGTTTAGGAAGAACCGAATCAGCATTTCTATTGGGATTCAATTTTCTTAGCTTCGTAGGAGCAGACTTTGGATCTGTTCCTATAATGATAGAAAATGGTTCGGTGATCTTGAATCGGAAGGAAATACTTTCAAGTTTTGTACATTTTTGCAAAGAAAATACTATAGCTTTAGGTTTGCAATCAGCATCCTCTTTCTACACTATCTGCATCTGATCAAGTTTTGTCATTAAGTTGACTGTAAAAATTTATGCTTTATGGCTGAGTTTTATGAATCGTCATTACTGGGCAATGAATCATTGGGCTTATTGATGGATCCTTTCCCTATTCCCCCAAATTCATTCGGTAATCCTCTAAAAGAGATTTTGAAGGTACAGAAATACAAGGGGTTGCAATTTTGAAGCGTAGGTGTGAAGAGTAATTTGCTAAGGATCCATTGTTGATTAGACAGATTAAATCCACCCTTTGGGAAGATTTCATGACTCAAGATATTCTCGTTAAATCGTGAAAAGAGATATGAGAAACTCGCAAGGACAACTATTCGGAACTTTTAGTGGCCAAGCTGATGTAATGTGTACACTGAATTGTCTGTGGGAGGAGTTTAGGATGTTTGTTATGTTATGTCTGCACCCCTCTGACAAGCAGCATCCAATAACACAGCACAAGAAGTGTTTGCAGCAAACAATTATCCTTGTCAAACCTATCATGGAAGAGGCAGGTGCGATCATGTTTGAGATTGTGGAAGACATCAAAACTAAATAGAAATTAATCTTTTCAATGTCATGGACGTCCTTGAACTGCATAAAATCCTGAAAATTAATTTAATCCAGCGATTTATCTTTGTTGTTAACTGGCTAATAAATATCAAGTGCATGGTTGTAGATAATACCTTCTGCTACCTTTAATAATAATTCCTCGCTTACAACAATAAATAGAGAATGGAAGCGTTGATGTAGAGCATCTGAATTATGAAAAAGAATGTAGTTTCCATTTTTCTCTTCTTACTTCTGCTGCGTTGCTTTTCTCTTTTTGCGCTGAATGTGAATTTGATATGTTTACATCCTTGACTTGCTTATCTTACCTTCTTAATCCACTATTGTCCCAAATTTTGTATTAAAAAGTTTAAATTGGAAGCTCACAGTTTTTGTTTGTTATTAGCAATTCAAGTAAGATAATTTCAATTGCGTGCTTTTATTCAAAGTATGCTTGTAGTGATTTTAACTGAAGGTAGATATTTAATGGGCTATGATCTTCTCTTTGTGAAATTCTAGTGGTTTTTAAGCAGTAGCATTGATACTCGAATATAGAACTTCGTTTATTGTTTTCAACAGAATACTTAAGTAGTGAATTTGGCCCAAGTTGCTATGGAGATTTCAGCTAGTTGATAGGTGGAGGTGGAAGTTAATGCTTTGCTAATTCTTTTTGAGTCTTTAATTTCTCCATTCCAAAGGTATAGTTTACTTGATGATTTTGATTATTTCTATTATTCATATCATTTATTAATTGAACTGATATATTTTCTTGGTTAATCTGCATCTAATACTTACTGTTAGTTTCCTTGCAATGTTACCTTTTTAATTAGTTTCCGTCTTAAATCTGTATATATGATTTTGATACAGCACCGACTGTTAAATCTTTTTTCCTGGGAATGTAATAAATAGTCTAAGAGTGCAAATGTATTCTTTTGTAACTATACTGATAGGTATGGGATTACTCTGGTTTGGGTTACACAAGGTATCATGCTAGAGATGTTGGCAAAGAATACCTTGGGTATGTTGTGAAATGAATGCGAGTTACTGTTGTATATATTTGAAATAGTCGGTTAATGATATCGTCTTGAACCTTTCTTCCTTGTTCAGTTGTGTAGTGGAGAACATGGTGCTGTGTGATGCTCTCTTGTCCTGCTTACAGGTACTATTTTTTTCATATCCCGTATGATTTGATTGTTAACTCGTGCATGATGATTCTTTTTGTTTGTCTTATTTCACTTACATTTTCTGTGAGCTAAGAAATGGCGTCTGATTTCCAGATTTGGTTGCATAGTGGTAAATGTTTGTGAAGTTACCGGAAATGGTTCCAAGAGTTTTACTCCCCCGTCTAAGTTAAGAATATATGTTATTCATTTCTAGTTTTGAAATAGGAGTATTGAATTGTAAATAATTAAGAGCTTTATAAATATGACACGAATTTGATATTTGGGTGGAGTGTAAATCACCTTGATAACTTCTTGTTCAAAATTTTCTTTAATGAAGTGCATATCAGTCTCAACGTGGTTAGATATATCCTGATGGACATATTTCTAAGTAATACTTATTGCAACTTAATTTGTCACATCATCATTGATTCTTTAGCATATACTTTTAGTTATTCAAGAAGTTTTTTAAGTCACGTTGGTTCATAAATTCCATGAGCCCTATCTAGAAATTATGCCTCGACATTTGTTTGGGCAAAAAACAAACAATTTTTTTAGTTCTCCTAGCAACCACATTTTCCCATCTAAACGAGCAATAATAAGAAGAATTTTTAATTAGTTATGGGTCCTGCTCGATTAGCACTAATGAGGATTTCAATACTTCTATTAGTTCCTTTCTTGAAGAATAAACCTTTTTCATGTGTCTTTTTAAGTATTTAGTATGCAGCTTTAAGGTATTTCTTTGTGGGATTATTCATGTGTCAACTGACATGACTAACTAGGAAATATGTCTGCTCTAGTTTGAGATAAATAGATTATTTTTCCTGTTAATTGTTTGTATCTTCCTTTGTGTGCCTATGTTGTTTCTATCTTGGACCCAATTTTATTTGGAGAATCCATTGGATTATGAGCATTTTCTTTTTGAAGTGTATTTTTATTGAGTTTTTCTCAATCTTGTTATTTCCATACATTGGAAATACTTCAAGAAACTAAAATTTTTGATTTCAAGTTCTTTGGTTAGGACTAGGGGTGTCAATTTCGGGTCACGGGTCGGATTCCATACTTATAAGACTGACATTAATAACCTTTTCCCCTCTTTCTAACCAAAAGAAACTATCGGTTTCCTTCTTGTTCTTTCATTTCCATAAATGATTCACATTTAGCAAACTTTTAAGTTTTTGAATAATCTTTTCATGCTCTACAAAATTCATATAGTTTTCAGAGCTTAATGCTAGCCTTGGCGTTGAGAAACATCCATCGCCACTTGATTGTTCCTTATTTTTATTAACTTCTCTTATTACATGGGAACTGTGATTAGGAGAATATGGACTTTCAGAAGGCAATACACAATGCTAGATTGGCCTCATTGAAATTTCCATCACAATTTAGATCCACAATAACATCAAAAGAGCAGGTACAACCGATGGGTGATTCATCAAGAGTTGCATCATCTGGTAATACTATAGAACCAACGCACAATGGTTCTTCGGTAAAGCTGTGCCTGAGTAATGGGAAGAACCTCTATGCAAAATTAGTAGTAAGTGTATATTCTAATTTGATTGAACTTTTCAAGGAGTTAAGTTTCCTATCCCTGTTTCATTAATACCTAAATCCTGAATAGCCCATTGATGAATGATCTATCCCTTCATAAATGTTAGGTGGATTGGAACTACATTTTCTCACACGTGCCTTTCTTTTTAGAAACTCATGTAATGTTTAATCACTACAGGTAGGAGCTGATGGCGCCAAGTCACATGTCAGGGAGATGGCTGGACTAAAGACAACAGGTTGGAACTATCCACAGAATGCGGTCATTTGTACAGTTGAGCACTCTGTTGAAAACCACTGTGCTTGGCAGAGGTTTTTGCCTTCTGGTCCTATTGCACTTTTACCTATTGGTGACAAATTCAGCAATATCGTTTGGACAATGACTCCAGAAGAATCTTCAACTCATAAATCAATGACCAGGGATGCCTTTGTGGAGGCAGTGAATTATGCTTTGGATTATGGTTATAGTTCTCACCCTCAATCAAGTTTTCTTGATGAATTTGTGCACAGAATATCATCTTTATCTGGATATGGTACAGCATCAATGGCAGAACATTTCCAGGTGCCACTAAAAGTTACTGATTTAGTGTCAGAAAGAATGACATTTCCTCTGTCATTAAGGCATGCTCTTGAATATGCTTCCAAAAGGGTGGTTCTCGTTGGTGATGCAGCACATGTTGTGCATCCTTTAGCTGGTCAAGGAGTCAATTTGGGGTTTGGCGATGCAGCTGCCTTATCAGAAGTCATTGATGAAGGCCTCCGAGTAGGGGCTGACATAGGAGAGGTATTCATCATACATTGAATCAGTTGAATGCCTTTGCTTAGTATAATGTGAGAGCCATGTATCTGCAAATTGTCATTAGTGTTGTAACTTTGCTAGGTTCCATTTGGCATCCAATTACAAAATCGATATGGCATCTATGAGTGAGTTAACTTTGATGGATTTAGTCACTGTTAATATAATTTTTGCTATGCATGACTTCTATTCCTGCCAGATAATAATTTTTGTGCATGTTCTTGGATATCATCTGTGATTGGGATTTGTAACTTTTTTTTATAGCTCAAATGAAAGCGTGTTTGCTCTTTGGTTTATGGTTCTAAACCAATTTTTGTTCACTTTTTTTTTCTCCTCTTGATGCAGCTTTCTTTATTGAAGAGGTATGAGAGGGAAAGACAGGCTGCTAATCTCACTATGATGGCGGTTCTCGATGGCTTCCAGAAGGCCTACTTGATGGATTTTGCACCACTTAATTTCTTGAGGGCTGTTGCATTTCATGGCGCTCAATTTATTACTCCACTGAAAAGAAATATAGTTTCCTATGCAATGGGCGAGCAAAAATGGCCTCTTTTCACATAAGAAGCAAATAATGATGAAAGGAACGGCTAAACAAGTTGGGCAGGATTTAATCAGAGATAAGAATGATTGAGCATTTCTTGCTTTTTTAAATTTAGATTTTCCTGATAGATGTTGAATTTTATAGCTCTTCCTTCTGTTTTCAGAAACTCGAACTTAGAATAATATTTTTCATCAGTTGGCATTGTTATTGTGGAAGCTATATTGAAGTTATTTGACAAGATAGTGAAAAAAATAATGCCATTGTGAGCTTCATATGAGAAACTCCTGTTAAGGTTGGGTGCAAGTTGCTTCTGGCTATGATGCTATGCTCATTATGTCTATTCAAGCTTTTAGCCTCTTCACAATGGGTCTTGGTTAGGATAGGTTGTCATTTTTATGCTTCTCAGATGCACTACGGGTCGTGCCTCCACTTGCCTGGCCTAATACCAATAAGCTTTTAGCCTCCATCAGCTCTTATTCCTTCCACTTTTGGTCTTCATTAATAAATTCCCCCATCATTGTGTCCGCAACTTTCTCCACATTAATAAATGAAGGGCACTTAGCTAAGATTTTATTTTGAAACCAGACATCATTCATTGTGTTAATCCCCTTGCCATTAGCAATCTTCCCCTTGATAACCGTCCTAAGAGCCTTAGCCCCAACCACTAGAATCTTCCAAGTTGCAGAAGTATCCCACACTTTATGTCCACTCCAAACATCAGTCCCATATTTCGATTTAACAATTCTATGTAGAAGATTTTCTGGACTACACAGGAATCCCCATGTTAGTCTAACTCTCAAAGGGCCTCTCCATTCAACAGGATCATGGAAGCCCAATCCCCCAAGCTTCATAGGTCTGCATATCTTATGCCAGACAACATAATGGCAACCATCTCACTCACTATCCTTCTGCCAGAGAAACTTTCTAGCAAGCCTAGAAATTTCAGCTAGCACACCTTTGGGAACTAATGAGTGAGTCATAAAATACATAGGGATTGTGATGAAAGAGATTCTAATCAAAGTTGCTCTTCCTACAAAGGAAAGAAACCTCCTTTCCCAAACCCCAAGTTTTTCCCTGGCCTTTATTATAAACTTGCCAAAATCAATAACCTTTAATTTCCTTGAAGCCAAGTGAACTCCCAAATACTCCAACTCCTTCACCACCCTGAAGCCCAACAGATTAGCAATCCCCTTCTGCTTCCCCACAACACATGCTTTGCTAAACATAAGAGTAGATTTTTGATAGTTAATTCTTTGGCTCGTCCATTTGCAATGGTTATATAATATTTTCATCATAATAACCGTTCTGAGCAAAGACCAAAATATCATATGCATAAGACAAATGAGAAATTTTCTCTGAATTCCTAGTGATTTGCACACCTAATTAATATCTCTGCTAAGCAAAGGCTTTGTACAACAATTCAGAACAAAAGATGAATATGTAAGGTGATAATGGGCACCTTTGCCTAAATTCACACCCAACATTGATCCAAGAGAATTTCAGACCATTGATCAACAAAGAAAACCTAGGATTAGTTACACACTGAAGCACCCACTTGATCAGCTTATTCGAAAATCCCATTAACTTCAAAACTTATTGCAAAGTTTTTCAACTCATGCTGTCATAGACCCGCTCCATATCCACCTTGAGATTGAGCCATAAACCCAAACTTAGCCTTTGAATATCTGAATTTACCAATGACTTCCTGGGCCAAGAGACTATGGGTTGAAATAGACCTTCCAGGGACAAAAGCTCCTTGTTGCTCAACAATCAACTCTGAAAGTACCATCTTAATTATGTTTACCAACAATTTAGACACAATCTTGTAAAAAGATTGGTGCTAATTTGTCTAAATTTGGAAGGATCAACGCATTGAGTACTTTTTGGAATAAGAACAACCAATGTCTCTTTCCATCCAACCAACATCTTCCCCAACTTGAAAAATTCTTTGACAACATTTAGCACTTCCAACTTCACAATATCCCAATAGAACTTCAAAAAAAGAGATTGTTATCCCATCACCACCATGGGCTCTATTATTACCCAACGGTTTGATAGCAGCCAAGATTTCTTTGTGTTCCATCTCAGCCTATAACCATCTCACCTGAGTGGCAGCAATTTTGTTATCCACATAGAATTCAGGCCACCCAGTTAAGAAAATAGCTCTCTCCTTCCACTTGTTACTAAAAAAAGTCCCAAAAAATTGAACTAATGATATTATGATCTTTCACATACTCTTCATTTAGGCATTTTAATAGAATTGATCTGATTCAATCTTCTTCTAGCAGTTGCAAAAGAATGGAAAAACCGCAAATTAAAATTCCCCTCATTAATCCATCTTACCTTGGCTTTTTTCCTCCACCACATGGAAAGCCTTCCAAGTGTAGAGTTAAGCTCCTTTACCTTGTGCTTCAATTTAGTTTCTTTAGTAGCAGACAAACCCAAAGCACAATCAGTAATTCAGCCAACCTGCAATCAATGTCATTCTTTTGTTCTTCAAGACCTCTAATCTGAGCCTTACTCCAATGGAACAAAACCTTCAGAGTTCTAGCACACTTTCTATCCAATATATTAGTACCAGTTCCAACATTAGATTTCTGCCATCTTTTCCGAACAAACTTCCAAGAAGTAGGAAAAGTTGCCCAAACATCTTAAAACATGATCCACTTGGAGGGTCTTATTTGCACTATCAGGGCTAAATTCAACAACAAAGGATAGTGATGTGAAGCAAGCTGACAAGCTGAACTAAATGTTTAACATTAACAAATGGGCTAATCCGTAATTCAACTGAGTTCATTAAAATGCTGTCCAATCTAACCCAATTTTTTTTTTTGTGTACCACTCTTATTGTTACACAAAGTAAATTTTGACCCAACATAACCAAGATCATGGAGATCATTGTTAATCATGAATTCAACCATCTCTCTACAACCAGGTGAATTCCTAAATCTCTTGCCCCCTTCTTTTCTTCTTGGGAAAGAATATAATTAAAATCACCACAAATTTAAGCTGAAAAGAGACATCATGCTTCTACCACATAACCAATATACCACAATACCTCCCAATAGCAGGCTAAGGGATAAATATACTATACTACACTATATTATATTATACTATATTTGTAGGTCACAACTTTTTTTCCTGGTTGGAGATTTGTAATTACCCCTATTTAATTTTTCTACAACAACAACAACAACATCAAGCCTTTATCCCACTACGTGGGGAAAATTTTTTAAAGGATTCATGTCATTATTGTTCGACAAGTTTTACGCTGGCTGTCGACTACCTAACGCAACCCTCCACTTTTCTCATCCAGGACTTGGGACCTGGCAACGGCAGTGTTAAGAACATATTGCTTTATTGCAATAAAAAAAATCAAAGGTTACAAAACAACCAAAAACAAAACAAGAAAAATGGTCAAAACGGCCCTTAAGAAAAAAACAAACCCAAACAATAACCTTCCTCAAGAATATTAAGAAATTATTGAGGCAAGTACTAAGAATTCCCTTCCATGTATTTCCACAAATATTGCTCTTCAATAGCCTGCTAAGCACAAAAATGGGCTTCTTTATTACTCCCTCTCCGTCTATGGACAAACACCACCGAATTGAATAACTTCACCCAATTGAAGTGATCGCTTTCCTGAGCTCTATCTTTCCAAATAGTATCCTTGCACAATTTCTACTTATGTTGAATAATACTGCATATGTAGTATCCTTGCACAATTTCCCTAATCATTAATACAGACTTGCATTCTAAACATCCACCTTCCTATTACTTTCCCAATGTATTTCATAGCAATAAGATATACCTTCAAGTTGTCCCAATGAATTATACTTCATCCAGTTATCATTATAACTTCACCCAATTGAAGTGATCGCTTTCCTGAGCTCTATCTTTCCAAATAGTATCCTTGCACAATTTCTACTTATGTTGAATAATACTGCATATGTAGTCCTGAGGTTGCCATGTGCATGTGTGTGTATGTTTGTGTGTATATATTAGTGTATGTATGTATGATTGCTTGTATAATATAGTTGTAGTGTATATTAGGTGTATGCGAATGTGTATATTAGTGTATGTGAGTGTGTGTGTGCACATAGTCTGTATAAACTTATACATAACGTATAAATGCTTGTACATAGTGTGTATAAACTTGTACATATTGTGTACAAATATTATACATGCTATATACAAGCATTATAGACACTATGTATGAGTTTATATAAGTATTATACACACTATGTACAAGAATTATACATGATATATACAAGCATTATACACGCTATGTACAAGTATTATACACGATATATACAAGCATTATACACGCTATATGCAAGCATTGTACACGCTGTGCAAGTATTATACACAATATGTACAAGTTTATACATGTATTGTATACGCTATATACAAGCATTATACACATTATGTACAAGTTTATACACACTATATATAAGTATTATACCCGCTATCTATATGTATGATACACACTATGTATAAGTCTATACAAGCATTATATATACTATGTACCAGTATTATACACACTATATACAAATATTATACATGCTATGTACAACTATTATATACATTTTATAAAAATATTATATATATTATGTATAAGTTTATACATGATATATATAAGCATTATACACTACGTAAAAATTTATACACACTAACTACAAGTTTATAGAAGTATTGTAAACGCTATATACAAGTATTATACACACTATGTATAAATTTATACATGCTATGTACAAACATTATACAATCTATGTATAAATTTGTACATATTATATACAAACATTAAACATGCTATGTACAAGTATATATATATTATGTACAATGTGTATGTACAAACTTATACACATTGTGTACAAACTTATATATAATGTGTATACTATTTATACATAGTGTGTATAATATTTGAACACAGTGTGTACAAACTTGTACATAGTGTGTATATTGCTTGTAAATAACGTGTATAAGCTTGTACATAGTGTGCATAATGTTTGTACACATTGTGTACAAGTATTATACACATTATGTATGAATTTTTACACAGTATGTACGAACTTATACATGCTATATATAAATATTATACATATTATGTACAAGCATTATGCGCACTATATACAAGTTTATATAAGTATTATACAAAATATATACAAATTTATATATACTATGTACAAGTATTATACACAATATATATAAATTTATACAAGCATTATATACACTATGTACAAGTTTATATACGTTATAGTTTATACAAGCATTA